CATACCCAGCCCATACATGAGCCCCTGGGCTGAGCCGCACTGCCCCGGCCAGGCAGACAGGCAGGGCACTGCTGTGCACAATGCAGCAGTTTAGCTGAATGTGATTGCTCAGGCAGTTAGTCAGTCAGGGCCCCCACCGCGGAGTCCCGCGGGGGTGCGGCATCCGGGCCGGGACACCCCAGCCAGGAGCCAGCCGGTGGCCCACCTGCCAGCATGGGCCCTGGGCGCGCTAGTTAAATCTTGAGCTCTGTTTGACCAAGCGGCCAAGGTAAAGATCCTGGAGGTGACGCCTGCGGCTTTTCTTTCCTCTCACGCTCAACTTGTGGTTCTGTTGTCTTTCACTGTCCTCTTTCTTCTTTCTCTCTTTGTCTCACTCTCATGTACTTTTCTCTGTCTCTGTTCTTTCTCCCAACACTCTCCCCCCCCCAGTTTCTCTGTCTGGTCTTCAGTTTTTCCCTTTGTTTTTGATATCTGGGACTTTTCTCACACTTTCTCCTTTTTCTCATAGTCCTAATTTCCTGTTTTTCACCCCAGCGTCTCATTTTAAATGTTTTCATGCTCTACCCTAACCCTCCACCCCTCTCTTCTTGCTCTCCCTGTGGGCAGTACCTGAGGTTAAAAGGGCACTTCAGTTTCTCCCTTTGGTCTTTCCCTGTCCGTTCACCATCTGCTTATCTTCTCAAGGGGGGAATAAAGGTATCCTGCCTTTTTTGGCTTTTCCTATCTGGTAAATTTCAGGTTTCCCTGTCTTGTACCTAGGGATGGAGGGAGTTGGTGGGAGCAGTCCTCTTAATGACTAGTTTTGGGTTTTATAAGGAGAGGGAGGTTCTTTGGGGCCTACTATTTCCTTAGCCTCCCTCTCAGAAGCTTTGGGAAACTATACTTTTTAAGTTAGTGTTTCCCAGAGATTTAAGGCAGTCAATCTGTCTCTCCAACCCTGGCCCCCCTGTAGTCATTATTTTCCCAAATCCAGAGCTCTTAGTTCCTGGCTGTCCCCTAAGTCTCAGAGCATAATCTCTGGTTTCTTTGGGGATATTCGCTATTTTTATTGTACCCCTCTCCCCAATCTCTCTACTTTTATGATCTTCTGTGGGTGTGAGAGGATGGGGGAGAAGTCCTGATTTTCCTGGGCCCCTCCCCATTTCCTGGCCCTGGCCTCCAGTAACTATTTTGTCTCTTCCCTCCCCACTTCCTTTATAGGTTTCGGTCTAAGTACCACCCAGATGAGGTGGGGAAGCGTCGGCAGGAGGCCCGGGGGGCCCTGCAAAACCGACTGAAGGTGTTTCTGTCCCTCATGGAGAGTGGATGGTTTGATAATCTTCTCTTGGACATAGACAAAGCTGATGCCATTGTCAAGATGCTGGATGCAGGTATGTGGATTGGCTGGGGCAGTGGGTGTGTGGTGACCAAGGTCTTGGTTGGGGAATAGAAGTAGGTTGACAGAAAACCAGAGGCTGAAAGCTAGGGCCATTGGATTATGACTTCCGTTCCCTTTGTTGGTAGCTGTGATTAAGATGGAAGGAGGTACAGAGAATGATCTACGCATCCTGGAGCAGGAGGAGGAGGAGGAACAGGCAGGAAAGCCTGGGGAGCCCAGCAAGAAAGAGGAAGGCCGGGCTGGACCAGGCCTGGTAGATGGAGAGCGCAAAGCCAATGAGAAGGAAGACAAGAAAGAAGATGGCAAACAGGTCTGAGTGCTGGGGAATCTGGGTGCTGCCTGTGAGCACTGAGGGAAGAGAACAGAGCCATGCCAATGGTGGTGGTGTCCACAGGAGCTTGAACTAGAGGGCTGTGTATTGGGTGGAGTTGGTGAACTTACGGGCTCAGCTGTTGATGGTGGGAGGCGTCTTCTGATAAAGGCTGATGGGAGATGGATATTCCAGTGACTGTTTCTACCTGTAGGCTGAAAATGGCAGTTCTAGTGATGACAAAACTAAGAAATCTGAGGGTGATGGGGACAAGGAAGAGAAGAAAGAAGACTCTGAGAAAGAAGCCAAAAAGGTAGGGAGGGGATCTCTTGCATGGGGTAAGTGTCAGTACCGGGGTCCTGGTTGTCTGCCTCATCTCTTGCCATGGTTTCCACAGAGTAGCAAGAAGCGGAATAGGAAGCACAGTGGTGATGACAGCTTTGACGAAGGCAGTGTGTCTGAGTCAGAGTCAGAGTCAGAGAGTGGCCAAGCTGAGGAGGAAAAGGAGGAGGCTGGTAGGTTTCATTTTCTGCCTCTAGTCTGTTTTCTTCCTATGAGTGGTGGGGGAGGTGAGAAGTTGGTGAAATTGATGGGAGGATGGCTTCTTGGGAGAGACTGGGAGTGGGGTGGGAGTTTGGCAGCTTTTCTCTCCTCTCCTCCAAAAATCAATAAAAACTCACCAATTCCCACCACTTCCTGCATAGAAGCACTCAAGGAAAAGGAGAAGCCCAAAGAAGAAGAAAGGGAGAAACCCAAGGACGCTCCTGGGCTGGAATGTAAACCCCGTCCTCTACATAAGACTTGCTCTCTCTTTATGCGCAACATTGCACCCAACATTTCCCGGGCTGAGATCATTTCTGTGAGTGGGGAAAATGGCATTTGGGGGCAAGGACAACATCCAGGCTCCATCCTTTGGTCAGATGGGGCGTGGGGGGGGTGGGGGTGGCACTAGGTGGGGAGAAAATAATCTGGCAGTGCTTCAGACATACATCCCTATTTTTGTAATAGGGAGGCTCCCTTCCCATGGGCCCATGCCTTTCGAGGGCTGGTCCTGGTTGCACCGTTCGCTTTCAAGTGCTGTTGGCTTTTTTTTTTTAATGTTTTTTGATTTTGTTTGTTTTAGAGAGAGTAGGGAGATAGAAACATTGATGAGAGAGAGACTTCGATTGGCTGCCTCCTGCACGCCCCCTACCAGGTATCCAGCCCACAACCTGGGCATGTGCCCAGACCAGGAATCAAACCATTGACCTCGCCCAGCCGGGTGTGGCTCAGCAGTTTAGCATCGACCTAGGATCCAGGTGATCGGGGTTCGATTCCTGGTCAGGGCACATGCCTGGGTTGCGGGTTCAATCCACAGTCGGGGGCTTGCAGGAGGCAGCCGATTAATGGCTCTCTCATTATTGATGTTTCTATCTCTCTCTCTCTCCCTCTCCCTTCCTCTCTCTGAAATCAATAAAGATATATTTAAAAAAAAATTATTAAAAACCATTGACCTCTTGGTTCATGGGTTGACACTCAGCCACTGAACCATACTGGCCGGGCTCTTTGTTGGTTTTTCCACGTCCAAGTAAAGATTCAAAGGCAGTTTCCTAGGGTTCTGGGAATGGGGAATTGAAGAAAGATGTGAATCCTGGAATGACTAAATGGGGTGTCTATTTCCTCTGCTTTTCCAGCTTTGTAAAAGATATCCAGGCTTTATGCGTGTGGCACTATCGGAGCCCCAGCCTGAGAGGAGGTGAGGAATGGAGAGAAGTATGACCCTGGATACCTTGGAGAAAACGTGCAGGGGAAGGTTAATGGCTAACATCAGTCACCACCACAGGATGAAGTTGACATCTTTGTTCTTGTTTAGGTTTTTCCGTCGTGGCTGGGTGACATTTGACCGCAGTGTTAACATCAAAGAGATCTGTTGGAATCTGCAGAATATCCGAGTGAGTGCTAGGAGCAGGACTGTTTGAGGAAGAAGTGTGGCTATGCTGCACACTTCTGATGGCTTTGTTCATTGATTGCTTCTTTCATTCTATTTCACCTATTCAGTCTGCTCACATTGTGTACTGATGCCTCTGGGCTAGGCCCTGGGACTGTTATGGTGAACACACCTGATCCCTGTCCTCAGGGAACTCAGTCTAATCACTGGTGCTCTCAGTAGGGCCAGTCTTTTGAGTTGCTACTTCTCAGGCATGTGTTGGTAAGCTTTCTGTTCCTTCTAGCTCCGGGAGTGTGAGCTGAGTCCTGGTGTGAACAGAGACCTGACTCGTCGCGTCCGCAACATCAATGGCATTACCCAACACAAGCAGATAGTGCGCAATGACATCAAGCTGGCAGCCAAGCTGATCCATACCCTGGATGACAGGACCCAGCTCTGGGCCTCTGAGCCTGGGACACCTCCTCTGCCAACAGTCAGTGACTCTTCTTAGAACTTTTTCAAAAGCAGCCGATACCCCCTCATTTGCTGTTGGCACCTCTGGTCTTCTAGCAGAACAGATTGGTGTTAGTGATTATTTGTGGGCTGAGGTAGAACGAATACAAACGTGAAGACAAATCCTGAGGCAGCAGTAACAGGCCAAGTGAGCCTTGAATTCTTTCAGCCTCACCTTGCCTTTCAAATTAGGCTCCTAGGCCACCTACTCTGAGGGGCTTTCTCTGCTTCACTTGCCTTTGTTCTCCCA